ACCTTGTCCATGACTTAGAGCTGGTAGCCATTGTTCATGCACTGAAGATTTGGAGGCACTATCTTTATGGTGTGTCGTGTGAGGTATTCACATATCATCGGAGTTTGCAGTATTTGTTCAAGTAAAATGAACTCAATTTGTGGTAGATGAGGTGGTTACAGCTATTGAAAGACTATGATATCACCATATTGTATCATCCCGGGAAGGCCAACGTGGTAGCCGATGCTTTGAGTAGGAAATCAATGAGTACATGCAGCCTTGCATACATTCCAGTCGGTAAGAGGCCGTTTGCATTAGATGTTCAGGCCTTGGCCAATTAGGTCGTGAGGTTGAATGTTTTTGAGCCAGTCGTGTTCTAGCTTGTACGGTCGCTCTTCATTGCTTGAGCGCATCAGGGAGCAGTAGTATGATAACCCTTATTTGCTTATCTTTAGGGACACAGTGTGGCAGGGTGATGCCAAGCAGGTTACGGTTGGAGATGATGGAGTTTTAAGGATGCAAGCTCGTATTTGTGTGCCTAATATGGATGGACTTCGTAAGTTGATTCTTGAGGAGGCCCATAGTTCCCGGTATCCTATTCATCCGAGTGCCGCCAAGATGTATCAAGACTTGCGGCAACATTATTGGTAGAGGAGAATGAAGATAGATATAGTGGCATATGTGGCTCGGTATCCAAATTTTCAGCAAGTGAAGCACGAGCATCAGAGACCTGGTAGTTTGCTTCAGAAGATAGAGATTCCTGAGTGGAGGTGGGAGCGTATCACTATGGATTTCATTGTTGGACTCCCACGGACTCAGAGGAAGTTCGATGTAGTTTGGGTCATTGTGTATAGACTGACCAAGTCGGCACATTTCATTCTTGTTGCAATTACTTATTCTTCAGAGCGATTGGCAGAGATTTATATCTGCGAGATCATTCGTCTTCACGGTGTAACCGTGTCTATCATTTTTGATCGAGGTACACAGTTTACCTCGTATTTTTGGAGGGCAATACAACGTGAGTTGGGCACACAAGTTGAGATGAGCACATAATTTCATCCTTAGACGAACGGGTAGTCCGAGCGCACTATTCAGATGCTAGAGGATATGCTTCATGCTTGTGTAATAGACTTTGGAGGTTCATGGGATCATTTCTTATCACTAGCGGAGTTTGCCTACAATAACAACTATCAGTCTAGCATCCAGATGGCTCCCTGTGAGGCATTATATTGTAGACGATCACCGGTTGAATAGTTTGAGCCGCGGGAGGCTCGGTTATGGGGTACATATTTGGTACAGGATGCCTTGGATAAGGTTAAGATTATTCAGGATAGACTTCGCATAGCTCAGTCCAGGTAGAAGAGTTATACCGATCGTAAGGTTTGTGATGTTGCATTCATGGTCGGAGAGAGAGTTCTACACCGTGTGTCACCCATGAAGGGTATAATGATATTTAGAAAGAGGGGCAAGTTGAGCCCTGGATTCATTAGATCTTTTGAGATTCTCGAGCGAGTGGGAGAGATGGCTTACAGACTTGCATTGCCACCTGGTTTATCAGCGGTCCATCCAGTGTTCCTCATGTCCATGCTTCGAAAGTATCACAACGATTCATCTCACATATTAGATTTCAGCTCTGTCCAGTTGGACAAGGATTTGACCTATGAGGAGGAGCCGGTGGCTATTATAGCCCGGTAGGTTCGTCAGTTGAGGTTGAAGAGTTACTCTTCAGTTCTAGTGCAGTGGAGAGGTCAGCCCGTTGAGGCATCTACCTGGGAGTCTGAATCAGATATGTGGAGTAGATATCCCCACCTTTTCACCAGTCCAAGTACTTTTCTATATTCGTTTGAGGACGAACGATTGTTTTAGAGGTGGAGAATGTGATGAACCGATAAGTTATCTCATGTTTTGAAACCTAATTATGTGATCTGAAGCCTTAAAAATCATATTTAGGCCTTCCTCAATTTGCGTGCGCAGTCTGGGGTGTCATTTTGGAAAGCTTTTATGTTAAAAAGTGTTAAAAATGAGAAATTTTGCCTAAAACTTCATTTGAGTTGACTTTGGTCAACACTATTGGTAAACGGACCTAGACCCGTATTTTGACTATTCTGGTGGGTCCGTATGGAAATATGGGACCTGGGCGTATGCCCGGAATCGAATTCCGAGGTCCCTAGCTTGAGATATGAATTTTTGTTGAAAATTAAAAGACAGAAAATTTAATGGTTTTAAGAATTGATTGATGTTTGGCCTTGTTGATACATAGTCCGTATTTTGATTTCGGAGCGCGATACAGGTCCAATATAATATTCATGACTTGTCTGTAAAATTTGGTGAGAAACGGAATTGGTTTGACGTGATTCGGATGTCCGGTTGAGAAATTAGAAGTTTCAAAGTTTTCTTGAGAATTTCATTTGATTTGGTGCTAAATTTGTAGTTCTAGGTGTTATTTTGGCAATTTGATCGCAGAGCAAGTCCGTATGATATTTTTGGACTAGTGTCCACTTTTGGTTTAGAGCCCTCGGGAGTTTCAGATAGGCTACGGAGTAAAATTAGAGTTAGAGAATATTGTTGGTGTATATGATCTTGTTGCAGGCCTCTGATCTCGTATTTACGAGATCAGGCATTGCATATGCAACCTCTGAAGGGTTCACATTCGCGAGCTTCTCATTGTAAATGCGAAGCAAAGCTGGACCAACAGTTTTCGCATTTGCGAAGGGAGACTGGGAAGGGCAATGATCGCAAATGCGATCATTCAGTCGCATTTGCGGAGATTCAAGTTCGCATCTGCGACCTAATCTTCACATTTGCAAAGGCAGTAGAGGTGTGAAGGACTTCGCATTTGCGATAGTCCCTTCGCATGTGTAAAAATGACTTAGACGGGATTTTTCTCCCATTCTTCAAATTTTCAAAACCTAAAACATAAGAGGTGATTTTCCAAAGAACTTTTCTTCCCCAAATCATAGGTAAATGATTCTAAACTAATTTCTTTTAATCTTTCACTTTATTTTACAAGATTTCAACTTAAACTCTAAGATTTTCATGGTAGAATTGGGGATTTTTGGGTAGAAACTAAGGATTTTGAAATTTGGGAATTTAGACCTCAAATTGAGGTCGGATTCCAAAACCAATTGTATATCCGGGTTCGGGGGTGAATGAGTAATCAGGTTTTGGTCCAAATTTCGGGTTTGGACTACAAGCAGACCTGGATATTGACTTTTGTTGACTTTTTCAATAATGGCCTATATTGAATTCTTTTCGATCATAGGTAGTTCCTAAGGCTTAAATTGAATCGTCTAATTGGTAATTTGCTAGATTCTATTGGTCCAGAGGCTTGTTTGAAGGGAAAAGCTGTGGTTGAGCTTTGAGTTTGGTCGTTGGAGCGATGTAAGTGTCGTGGTTAACCTTGGCTTGAGGGATTATGTATTATTTGCCTATTTGCTATGTGTTTGAATGTTGGGTACAACGTATATGTGAGGTGACGAGTATCTATGCGTTGTTGTCGAATCATAGCATGCGATTGGGTCTTATTCTTGTAAATGTTGCTTTCTTTGGTCATATTATCCATGCTTAGACTAGCTATTCGTTATGTTGAGGGTTCTATCATGTTTACGGACCTTGGTATTGATTGAATGTTTACGGACCTTGGTGAGGGAGAGTGTTAATGCACGAAGGGTGTTGCCGTGACATGTTTGTGAGTGATAATGCACGAAGGGTGATGTAGTGTCATATTATGAGTGTTAATGCACGAAGGGTGATGTCGTGCCATGTTATGAAAGAATTAATGCACGAAGGGTGATACTGTGCCGTTTCTATTGTTTCATATGGTGAGGTTGAGAGTAAAAGCACGATGGGTGATGTTGTGCATTTTCCTTTACCGTATTTACTTGTTTCTATCTGTCTAAGGTATATGGATTGAGCAAGATCTTGTTACTGTTGCGATCTTTTATCTTGTGATCCTCTCAGCATGTCTCCTTCCCAATATTTCTTGTCTTGTTTCTTTCATTGCTGTTATTGGTATATATATTGTTATACTGCACTTGTTCATTTGTAGGTATCTTGTCCTAGCCTCGTCGCTACTTCGCCGAGGTTAGACTCGACACTTATCAGTACACAGAGTTGGTTGTACTGATACTGCACTCTGTATTTTCTGTGCAGATTTCGGTACTGGTCCGAGTTGATTCTGAGGTTAGTTGCTGGCTTCACTTGATCAGAGACCCAAGGTAGATATGTTGACGTCCGCAGGCCCTGGTGTCCCCTTCCATACTTTCTCTTTACTGTTTCTTTTGTATCAAAAACAGTTGTATTTCCTTCAGACATTTACTTGTACTTAAATCTTAGAAGTTCGTGGATTGTGACTCTAGATTCTGGGTAGTTTAATATATTAAGATTGTTATGGATTCCCACACTCTTTTCAACTTGTTATGGTTTAATTGTCGTTAATCACGGAAAGGTTTAGGAATTGGCTTATGATCTCTAACATTGACTTGCCTAGCAAGTGATATGTTAAGCGCTATCATAGTTCCGACGGTGAGAATTTCGGATCGTGACATTATTTTTCCATCTCAAAAGCAAGACAGTTCAATTGATGAGGTAAACAATAGAATAAGGAGTTCCACGAAAGCAAAGAACAAAAAGAAAAAAAATGAAGTATAATTATTACGATAATGATGTGACGTGACATAAACAGAATATGAAGAATAATTAATTAAAAGAATGATGCTGCAAATAAGCGTAATCATCGCTAATTAATCAAGCCATGACGCCAGATCTGAAGTGTTTTTAAGAAACCAAAAATACTAGTATTACCAAGTGTTGTGACGCGATAATTGGAATCACTATATTTAATCAAAGATTTTGAACTTAAATTCAACGAATAAAAACACTCTTGGTATACAACGTTATATCCTTTAGTAGGTTTGTTTTTGACACCATTTCAAATTAGTCGAGCTAGTGCGTTTCAAACACGAGATTCCTAAAACAAAAAATAAAAATAAATAAATAAAATGGTCAACACCATGGGTATTGGTTCCCTCACTATATAAGCAGATGGGCTTTCCCACTCTTTTCCTCTCCATAATCTCTTTGTATTCTGATTCATTCATTCATCTACCATTTCCTCCCAAGAAACAGCAAAGCATTCCTCCAATGGCAACCAAAGTCTACATTGTGTATGTGTATTTCTCTTTCTTTCTGTCTCTTATACATTTGAATCCAATGATATAGTATTATTATCAAATTTTATTTGCCTAGACGTACTCGTATGTTGAAATTGAGTTGTAAATAACAATTAGGATATTGGTTTTGTGCCTGTAACTGAGTCCATGTAATCAGGGGCGGAGCTAGGGCGGCGGAAGGGATATAAGGTCAATATTTTTTATGTAGACATATTAGATGTTGAATCCTCCTGAGCTTTTTAGTGTGTTTACTTTCTTTCTTTCTTTTTAAATCCCTTTTGGTAAAATTTTCGCTTCTTTCACTGTATTTCACATAGATCAAATGCATATGTATCTAGAGGGGTTTTGTTATTTATGTTGGTTGGTTTTGGAAAATCATTTCTTGAATAAATTGGATTGTTGGTTTGAATCTTCTTCTTTTTTCCCCTTTCTATTCGTTTTTTATTTATTTATTTGGTGTTCAAATGATCCTGGGTTTGTGCTGCAAAAGATGGTAAATTGAACTTTCTTGAGATAATAATTGAAATCCTGAAATATCAACTAAAATATGCCATTTAAGACTGGGTGATAAACAAGCACCTCAAGGCTGGTTTAGTATTAGGGATAAGGGATAATTAGTCCCGGAATTAAATTTAAAATGTGTTTGTCTTATATTTGTTGGGAAAAAATCGTGATATAATAAATTTCGGGATTAATTATCCTATGATTATAATATTTTTTTTATTACTATGGGAGGGTGGGATAAATCCCAAGATAATTATTTTTGAAATAATTAATCATGGAATAACTTGTTTCCCGACCAAACGACATGTGAAAGGTTGTAAGTTTGACGGTCAGTGAAATTGGAGTTGACCATGTAAGATTAGGGATCAAGGCAAAAAAAAGAAAAAAAGTGCCCCCTCTTATATATACTTCCATATAAGAAGAGAAAAAAGGATTGAGTAATAAGCATTTTATAAATAAGTTGTGAATTGAATTCCGTGCCGCTTTCACATTGATCTTAGTGATGTTAAATTGAATAGATAAAATGTTATCCTTATTGGTTGGAAAAAGAAGTTGGTCTTTAAGCAGAGAGAGGGAATTAAAATTAAACTATTTATTTAATTTATTATGTTTGAAAATAGTTATTTATAATTAATTAGTAGATTTTTTAAATACATATATATGTTCAAATGAACGCGTAGGCCGAATTCTATTATTCTTCGTTGAGTGATTTGCGATGATTGATTGATTTCTGGTTTACAGTAGTATGTTGTTTCCAATTGGACTATCCACATCTTTTCACATTATGATTTATGATTTATTTGAAATAGGAAGTCAACTTTATGTTTCCTAAAATAGACCTTAAGTATTTTACTTTAATGTTGGATTTTTTTTTTTTTGTTTGGTTCATTTGATTTTTATCCAAGACTTTAAACAATTAAACGTTGACAAAGAAAACCACAAAATTATGCAGTTACTACACCATGTACGGTCATGTTGAGAAGCTGGCACAAGAAATAAAGAAAGGTGCTGCATCAGTTGAAGGGGTTGAAGCTAAATTATGGCAGGTTCGTTCTGGCTTGCTCATGCTAATATTTTTTTAGTTACTTATATAACAACAAACTCAATATAATTCCACAAGTACGATCTAAAAAAGATAGTGTATATGCAAATCTTACCTCTTCCTTGTACTAAGTAAAAATACTTGTCCTTCATTGGTTGTACGAAGGTTTCTAAATGAGTTTAGAATAGTGTAGTAATCAAATAGTTTTCTTAATATGTAGATTCGCATACTTTTTTTCATCAACATCATGTTGGATTCATATTGTCTTAAGGTATTGAATTGGATGTTGAAACTCTTTCGTATTGGTATAAGAGTCAAATTTTGGTGATCCTGTTTGCACAAACTACTTTCTGTCCTCTTTACTGCAAATCCTGCTTATCGAGCCACTGACATAGCACGTGTCGCCACTCATTAGCCTGTTGAGCCTTATCTGTCAATCAGTACTTCAGGCCCGTTCCCATTGAGAAAAAAAGTTAATATTAATAAATAAAGAAAATGTAAGTTCAAAAATCAATACATGTGCAAAGCATATCGAAGAATATATATACTTGTCCCTCATTAGTTGTCTAAGGGTTTCCCAAGAGGTTTATGATGTCTCGAGTCAATACCATTGACTTAAATGTTTTGGATTTGATGCTTTAATTAACCTAAGACAATTCAATTATGTTGAATCTTTTAGAGAAGTATAAATAATGGCCGCTAGAATGTTTGTTAAAGCTAAAAACTTGATAGGCATATGCTTTGCTTATTTAGTCAATTTTATATGAATATTTGATTTGAACAGGTACCAGAAATTCTTTCCGAAGATGTTCTTGCAAAAATGCATGCACCACCTAAAGGTGATACACCAATTATCACAGCTGATGAACTTGCTGAAGGCGATGGCTTCGTATTCGGATTCCCAACTCGATTCGGAATGATGCCTGCTCAATTTAAGGCGTTTCTTGATTCAACTGGAGGTTTGTGGAGAACTCAACAGCTTGCAGGCAAACCAGCAGGCATTTTTCTCAGCACCGGCTCTCAAGGAGGTGGCCAAGAAACTACCGCGTTAGTCTCCTGCTTTCTCTCTATCAATTCATGAATGAAAAAAACTTTACTGCACTCGATATTCACGTCAAACTCGATAAATATATGAAGTTTTTTCTTGCATAACCTTATACTCCCTCCGTTCAATTTAGATGAACTAGTTTGACTCGGCAAAGGGCTTAAGGAAAAAAAGAGGACTTTTGAAATTTATGGTCTTAAAAGCTTAACGGGTAAAAGTTTTGTGAGGCCATGATATTTGTGTGGTTATAAAAGCTTCTCATTAAGGGTCAAATAAGTAAAATGAGGAGTTTAAAGTTGAATTATTTCGAATCGTAGAAATATGTCATTCTTTTCGAAACGGACTAGTAAGGAAAGTGTGTCATCTAAATTGAAACAGAGGGAGTATCACTTAATCAAGATTAATTAATACTTCATCTCGTACATATAATATGTCTTTTAAGGTTTTTGCACACCCCTTGAGAAAGACATAGAATAACCTTGAGAATAAATAACCTAAAAAGCTTTCCACCCAACCGTTTAAACTAAAAATAACAGGCGAATGAATACTATATTTATATATATAATATGTGTATAATCATATATAATTAGGAGTATATAATATATGTATACATGGTATATACTGGCTAGAAAAAGTACAGTGTATCCAGCCTGCTATTTGTGTTCAGATCTCTAACCTTGACCAATGACTATGTTTTGTCTTTCTCATAAATATCTCATTTTATTAATACTCCACTAGTTAGAGCAGTAAGGCTGAATTTGAAGAAGAAGAAGAAAAAAAGAGTAATAAATATTTCTTGATTTTTTAAAACGTCAAATATTTTGGAACAAAATTCATTTTGTCACTTAACTTTAACAAACATGATTTTTTGCTCGAGTTGTGAAGTCTGAAAATTCAATGACAAGATTTATGAAAATTTGAGGAATCTTTCCTGAGCCGAGGGTCTACCAGAAATAGCCTCTCTGCTTTCTCAAAGGTAGGGTAAGGTCTGCGTATACTTTACCCTCCCCAAACCCTACTTGTGGGACTATACTAGGTATGTCTTCGTTGTTGTTGTTGTTGTTGAAGATTTATGAAAATTTGAGGAATGTTGCAGGTTGACAGCCATAACACAGCTTGTACATCATGGAATGATATTTGTTCCAACTGGCTATTCATTTGGAGCTGGAATGTTTGAGATGGAAAAGATTAAAGGTGGAAGTCCTTATGGTTCTGGAACTTATGCAGGAGATGGCTCTAGACAGCCAACAGAGCTTGAACTGGAACAAGCATTTCATCAGGGGAAATACATTGCCACCATTACAAAGAAACTCAAAGGCTCTGCCTAATTGAATCTTCCCTACTTGACTTTTCAGTATTAATGCAATTTCTTTGTTTTTTCATATATGTAATTCTCTTCAAGAACAACATTCTTTGCTTCAGTTTAAAATTGCATTCGTTATGAACTAAGTATCAAAATATTGATGTCGGTCATTGGTCATTTTCTGTTTCGAAAGTTGGTTTTACATGGTTAGATAATAGTATACCTGATAATATTATACCTGATAATATTATACTATTAAAGGCAATTTTGTCGTTGTTCTTGATAAAGAAATAGACGTTGGGCTTAACAACACCAAAAGCTAGCTCATGAATTGCCTCTCACCCATCTGATGTGGAAACTCTAACACCCCACGCCGAGGATTGGATATGTGCATTGTGACAAATATAAAATTAGGGTCCAATATCAGGTGAAACAAGAATTGGATGAACCTTACTCTGATACCATGATAATGAAATAGACTTTGGGCATGAAAAAGAACTTATCTGCTTATTTCTAAGAAAATATCATCAGCTTTGTTATTCGCTCTCTGTGGCCTTTTTTCGAATATTGAGTGGGTAGACCTAGGACGAATATTCCATATCTGTTTTTTCTGACTTGTGCATATAACAACATTTCCCCCACCCCCAAAAAGAAGGAAAATATTAAGGTCTTAAATGAAGAATTTATTGCGAATAAACGAGAAAATATTTAAGAAATTGAGAAGAAAATACAAGGTACGTACTGCCACTGTCTCTATAGTTAGGTCACTGCACAATCAGAATCCAATATTGAACTAGTTAAATTGAACAATTGTATATTGGTGGTCCAGTCCATATAAATTTGCCAAACTACATAACTAAATTGTGAGTGGATGTCACTCTTTAGTGTGCTTAAAGAGAAACAGCTTGCTTGATTTCTTCAAAAGAAAATAGCACGTGAATTTCTATAGGGTCAGATTTTGCCATGGCTATAATCTGAGAATATGATGTTCACAGTATAATAAAGCAAATGAATTTTTTGAAATTAGGTTTCTTTAAATTATTCCACTAAGGTATATCCACTTATCCCAAAAAGAAAGTAAACTCAAGTGCGGAGCGTATAACTGCTGAAAGCATCTAAGTAGTAAGTTCATCTCAAGATGAGTAGTCTCCTATTTCATCTTTTCCGGAGCCTCCGGTAGCACAACCAAGACAATGACGGGTTCTCTATCCCTCCGGGATGAAACGACAGAAGTTTTTTTTTGAGAATTCAAGAGATTACCAACTTGACCTTAGCCGGAGTATCATTTTTGGAAAAAATGACACTGTATAGCCGCTGTAAAATTAATAGCCGAAAAAGTATATNTATGTTATATACAAAAATTATACAAATTTTATATACTTTTTCGGCTACCAAATGTAAATAGTTTTTGGTGCGTGCTAAAAGTAATAATACCCCATTTTTGGTTATTTACTAAAATCCCCTTTTGTAGGGGAAGGATGAATGGTAGTTAGTTCGGATTTTTCTGGTAAAATAGTTTAGAAAAGCTTTTTTTTTTTTTAAAAAAAAAAACGAGATTGGAGCAAATTAAAGCCATCTGCTATTTCCAAGAAAATATATGAATTAAATTCAATGCTTTATATTTACTGAAGAATGAAGGTGTATATATATATACTGATGCCCTAGGGTTTGGTATGACACCGATCAACCAATCAACTCAATTGTCATACCAAAATTGCATAAGGTGATAGCAAGAGATGCTAATATAATGAACAAAAGCTTTCAACCATTTTCAAGGGATTCGATTTTATATAAACTTTAGCATTTTTTAAAGATATGCTTAAATAGGAAAAAAATCCTTAAAAGTTTTATTCTAACAGGTTTTTCTTTGTGGATTGTGGTATTTTATGATTTTGACACTCATTAAAAAAAATAAACGACTTTAAAGAACATGTTATGAAACAATAAAAGAAAGAAGAAGAGTATTGCAGAGAAAAGTAGAGAGAAGAAAATTCTTATTTATATGGGATGAATTACAATGAAATATAACCCTCTATTTATAGGGAGATGGTGACTTAGCCACCAAGTAATGAACCCTAGAATCTCTCTAAATATAGACATTCACCATAAATAAATTTTATTTGTAATACTCCCTCTTGAATGTCTATTCAATAGATAATGTGGCTCGTTAAAACCTTAATTAAAATAAAACCCAGTGGAAAAAATTCTAGTAAAGGAAAAAGAGTACACATGTCTAACAATACGCCTTTTGGTTGCCTCGTTAAAAACCTTGCAAGGAAAACCTAGTGAGACAAAACCTTGTAAGGAAAAAAGAGTACAACGCGTATTAACTCCCCCTGATGAGAGCATCAATTCACATCCTTGAGCCTTCGCATTCCAATCTTGTGCACCATCTTCAAAAGATCATTGGTAGAGACTTGATAAACAAATCAGTCATATTAAATGGTCATCACTTGTTTTAAAAGTAAATTCTGCATTCCGAGGCCTCAAAAACGTCTTTCGGCATCACCTCAATTTGCGTGCACAGTCCGGACGCGTAGCCAGAAAGCCATTATGTGAAAATCTGTGAAAAATGATGAATTTTGACTTTAAAATGGATTTAAGTTGACTTCGGTCAATATTTTAGGTAAACGGACTCGGACACATGATTTGACAGTCCTGGAGGGTCTGTAGGAAATATGGGACTTGGGCGTATGCCCAGAATCGAATTCCGAGGTCCCAAGCCCGAGAAATGAATTTTTTAAAGAAAATTATTTTTTGGAATTATTTATGAGTTTTGGAAATGAAATGTGTTAAAACTTGATGGTATCGGGCCCGTATTTTGGTTTCGGCGCGCGGTATAGGTCGTATATGTGATTTAATATAAGTCTATGAAATTTGGTAAGAAACGAATTTGAAATGACGTGAATCGAATCGTATTTGAGAAAATTTGGAAATTTTGAAGTTCTTAAGAAATTTCATGACTTTAATGCTAAATTCATATTTGTTGATGTTATTTTAGTGATTTGAATGCTCAAGCGAGTTCGTATGAAATTTTTAGGTTGGGGTGCATGTTTGGTTTGGAGCCCCGAGGGCTCGGGTGAGTTTTGGATAGGCCACAGAGTGAAAATTTTACTTAGGAATTTGCTGGTATGTTGCAGGCCTGTGCGAAGCCTGGCTCGCAAATGCGAGTATTGTATCGAAAATGCGAGAAGTGGCCTGGGCTGACTTATTCGCAAATGCGAAGAAATGATGCAAATGCGACATCGCAAATGCGAAGGGACAATCACAAATGCGAAGAGGCCTGATTTTCCTCAGGGTTCGCAAATGTGAAGGTAACAGACTTCTGGGTTCGAAATTGCGAACTCTGGTCGCAATTGCGTCATCTGCAACCTGCAATGTGATAACTTAGCCGAAATTCTTTCATTTTTCACACTCTTTCAAAATCAAAACACTCTTGGACGATTTTTCAAAGACAACTCTTCTTCCAAATCAATTGTAAGTCAATTTTAACTCATTTTCTTCAATCATTAACATCTTTTCACATGATTTCAACTCAAAATCAATGATTTTCATGGGGAAAATTGGGTGTTTGGGATAAAACCTAGATTTTTCAAAAATTGAGGATTTGGACCTCAATTTGAGGTCCTATTTCAAAACAAATTATATATTTGAGTTCTTGGGGGAATGAGTAATCGGGTTTTGTTAGAACATCGGGTTTCGACCATGTTGGCCTGGGGGCGATTTTTGACTTTTTGGGTAAAACTTTAGGAAACTCATTTTCATGCATTAGAATTGATTCATTTAGCATTTATTGATGTAATTAAGTAACTTATGGCTAGATACGAGCGAATTGGTGGTGTAATCAACAGGTAAAGCAATAGTAGAGACTTGAATTGTGTTCGTGGCATCGGGGTAAGTGTTTGGTCTAACCTTAGCTTGAGGGATTAGTAGTCGAGTCCTATTTTCTATGTGGTATTTGTAGAGTACGACGTATAAGCATGGTGATGAGTATCTATATGTTGGTGTCAAGCATGCCCGTGAGTCTTATATTGTGATTATTATGGCTTCGTTGTATTATTCATGCTTTGATGATGATTTCTATTGTTAGACAAAGTTTGTGAAAGTAATTGTGACATTTGAACATTGAGGAGAGTTGGCTCAAGTTGTACAATGAAATGTGAAAGTATAAGTGATAATTGAATCTTTTAGAGCATTGACTCAAGTTGTGAAGTAAAAGTGAGAAAAAGAAGAGAATTATTACGTGGCCTCCCTTGCCGGGATATTGTTGTTTTTGATGTTATCTCCCTTGCCGGGATGTTGATCTTTTTTTTGACGTTGTTCCCTTGTCGGGACTTGATTGTTGAACTATTGTTCCCTTGCCGGGATTCTTATTGTAATTTCATTTCTTTCCTTGCCCTATTATTTGTGATTGTTGTTTGGGTGCAGAAGAGTGTTAAAGCACGAAGGTGATGCCGTGTATTATTTTGGTGAGAGAGTGTTAAAGCACAAATGATGATGTCGTGTATGATTTGTGAGGAAAGAGTATAAAGCACGAAGGGTGATGCCGTGCCACACGATGTACCATTCCATGCCGATTATATTAATTATATGGTGAGGACGAGAGTAAAAGAACGAAGGGTGATGCCATGCACATTTTCATTACTTGATTGCTTTGGTGAGGACGAGAGTAAAAGCACGAAGGGTGATGTCGTGCACTTATTGATTTTGGATTCTTTATTGATATTTGGGATATGTTGTTTCTTTCAATTACATGTTGTCTTTCTATTCTAAATTGATTGTTCCCCCGCAATATGTTACCCCTCCCATACTTGACTGTATATTACTGTTCTTCTTTTCCGCTGTATATAGTTAAATTGCACAGGTTTATTTGATAGTCTGGTCCTACCCTCGTCACTACTTTGCCGAGGTTAGGCTATGCACTTACCAGCGCATAAGGTCGGTTGTGCTGATACTACACTCTGCACTATGTGCAGATCCCGCAGCAGTAACTTTTGGACCATAGATTGGGTGGCTGCCTTCAGTCCACGCGGAGATCTAAGGTAGTCCTGCAGGCGTCCGCAGGCCCTGGCGTCTCCCTCCATCCCTTACTCCTGTTTCATTTACTTAGTTCAAAAACATTGTGTCTTTATATTTCAGACTTTATATGTAGTATTCTTAGATCGTCTGTGAAACTG